ATTCGCAGCCGCCCGAGCGCGAGCTCGTCGAGCTCGAGGCCTCCATCTGCGCCTTCCTTTGTGCGGCCTTTCTCCGTCGAAGACGCGGAGTTCTGCCTCTCGGGACGAGGCGTGGGGGCTGGCAAGCAGCAAGCGAGGCCACCATCAGCCCAAGCGTCGCGGGGACTCGGACCGCAGCGTTGCCGTGCGGCCAGCACTTCCGGAGCTTCCAAGCCTCTGCCCAGAGCAAATGGAAGATCGTCCGATAATGATCCAGATGGCCCCCGTGATGCTCAAGGCACTTGGCTACATTGCCAGCCATAGGGTCGTAAACATGGATCTTGGGATGTACCTACCAGATCTTACCAGCGTGGGTGGCCAATTCGAAGTTCGTTGCTTGTCTGGTGCCAAGGTGGAGCTCAAGCAACTGGCCCTCGGTTGCGCTCTTCGAGGGATGGCGACCCTGTTCGAAGGCGATCTGCCCCCGCTCCTCGCGGCAAAGCATCGATGCAGGAACATCCTGAGCTTGGAACGGACGCCGAGCGGCAGAAAGTTTTATTCAAGAAACATCTTTTGCAGCTTTTACTCGAAATGGCTGGTTTTATAGAGCAATTCATTGTCTTGAACGCCGTGATGCTGCAGCTACCTGCAGTTGTAGACTCAGGCTGCACCTTTAATTGGCCATTGCCATATATCTTTCCTGCCCTCCGCCCTGGGTTCGCACTGCCCTAAGCACTTGGGCGAGGGTTGCGGGGCCTGAGGATCTGTGGCAGTCCATGGAGCTGAAGGCACGGTTGGGTTAAGGGCCTTGAAGCGACCGAAACTGCGGAACCGTCCGTCCACTCCCAGGTGTTTCTGCGGCGCGCCGACCTGATGGATTTGCTCGGTCCTCTGAGACTCTCTGCTGCGACTCTTGCATGGGTGCCTGACTAGACGCACAGGAAGGCCGACTCTGCGGCTGTACACATTTCGTAGGGCAGCCTCGGTCACGCTTGGCCCGAGGAGAGCAATTCCCCGGCCTGAACTTGCAGTCCTTGCTGGAGATGCAGGAATCGCAGCTGAAGCAGATCGAGGCGGCACCACGGCCCACTCTCGGGTTATGCTGAGCCAGGTTGTGGTTCAGCCGCTGCAAGGACGACTCGGATCTTTTTTGATATAGAAATGTCACAGCCATCCCAGACCGCAGTACGGAAATCATGGAATCATGGTTCGGAGGTGCGCCCGCTGGCTTTCAAGCGGCTCCTACGTAGCATCGAACTCGAGCGGCAGCGGCGAGGGACGTTCCTGCAGCAATCTGCCTTCGCCTTTTGGAGTGAGATAAGTGGTTGAAGGGCGGACATCGTGGAAGTTCAAGTGGGTATGCGAGTACGTTGAGGGCTTGAGGGACTCGGTCAGAGCTGCTTGGCGGAAGGTCATGCTCAGACAGAGCCGGCTCTGGCTTAAAAGCACCGAGGATGATGACGTCAGCGTGCCAATGCGCAGACCACCACCCGTGTCTCTGGATGAGGGCGACGGCCAGTCGGAAGGTGAGGTTCGGGATGTCCAGGGCGAACGAGGCCGAGAATCTGCCTCGCAGATGGTGGCCCGTATGCTCTCCACACCTACACCCTCTAGGCCCTCGCTGGCACACGAAGGCCACAGCCACAGCACTCAACGCCTTCCCGATGAATGCATTTGGGAGCCATCGGAGCCGCGGTCAGATCCGCCCGAAGAGCACCCCGTGACCGAAGACGCGGCCCAGCTGCATTCCTGAAATTCGTCTCCAAGTAGGGCAGCTGTGTTTGAGGATCGAACCGTGGGATGAACAATCCTTTGTTTCGTGTCCCTGGTTAATAACTACTTGCAGAGCTTGCCGA